CAGCCCCGGCCGACGTACTTTGCGATTAGGCCTGATGTACTGCCCAAGCCCTGAACCCCGCCACCGAATCCAAAAACTCATGCTGTTGTAGGGCGAGTTAACAATGAATGCTTCCCTCCCAAAAAAACTCGAATACCCAGCTCCTGGTGCGGAATCCGACGTCTTTGTTCTTTCCCTCACGAAACCCCGAAGACAGGAGCTCCCGTCTCCCCCAAACTCGCCAGCGGTGCTTTTTTGCCATGGTTTCGAAAGGAGGTGGGAGAGGCTCTGGAAAATTGCGGGACTTGCTGCTCCTTCTCTCTGTCTGAAACCCCAAATGGCCGCGGAGCCAGGCAAAGTAGGGGGTTTCGACTCTCAAACTCCAACTCGTCTCACGTTACTGGTTACATGTGGGGTTCGACGTAAAGCAACCACCCTAACACGATCACAAGCCTACTCCAAACCCAAAGCCGAAGGGTTTTCTGCCTAGGGTCTTCAACTCCAATCTCCGACGGCAACAATACTATGCACCACCGCACGGCGACTGAAAGCACTGCTGTAGGGGCTTATAGTGATAGATCGAAATCACAGACTACAGAAGATAAAGGAATAAACGGAATAACTATTAGTACTGCCATGGTTCGGCGCCGTCTGAAGATTCCGAGTCCTTACATCCAGGGTTGTTCTGGGACTCCACCTAGTGGTGCCAAAAGGTCGTGGGTTGCGAAGTCAAACCTCTTTAGATCCTTCTTCCCAAATCCCACCCAAACACACCCCTTGCAGATGGAAGTATGTGGGATGGGATTCCCAGCCTTCAATAAACCAGAACCCTAGACTCTTCGACCGGCCTGACTTGGGCGGTTGTTTAATGTTAGACGCGAGGCTTGATAGGCTGAAGCAAATTCCAATTTAGCCCTATTTCTTGAGCCCAGACAGCATTTACCCATGGTTGACGTGGGTTTAGTTCTCCCGATCAGAGACTCGACTGAGGATACTTGGGGCCTGGACCCTATGTAACCGCTAAACTCAAACCTTAACTCTAACAACATTAAATTCGGAAACTCTAATCCTTAAGCCCTAAAGCCCTTAATCCTAAACTCCCAAACCTTAAACCCGGCCTACGCCCTAAACCTTAAACCGTACAAGCTTTTGAATCCTAGATCTTGAGTTCCTGAGCCCTACTCGGAAAGTTCACTCCCAGAACCCTCAAAGAAACCTAAGCCCAAAAGAGCAGGACAGAGAAACCGAAGCGCTACAACCTTAAAGCGTTATGACAAACGCTTATGATATACAGGCTTGAGGCCGGATTCTGAGGCAAAAGGAAACAAGGCCCTACACGAGGAAAAACTACTAATGACCAACGCGACCTCTAGAATAGGCCGTGAATACAACCTGCATGCAACCTTGTAGCCTTTCTTAATATAACATAACCCTATAAAATATATTAGTTTCAGACCTCTAGATTAAGCCCGAACCGTTGGTCAGCCACGGCAGCGCGGTCAAATGCCTAAGGCTTGGGCTGGTCGGGCTGCGATGGATCGGCCTTCACACAGGGCTCTCACAAGCTCTTCGGCACTTTCTAGCTCCTGGTCCTGGGCCATCAAGTAGGGTTGGTGATGTGGGCCTTCTGTTGCGCGAATCTTGCGCGGGTCACACCAATGGACAATGAGCAAAACATAGTGTGCCATGAATAACTGGCTGGTCAACAGGCAGGGATGTGTCATGCCCAGTCTGATCGAAGTCTCAAGACCTCGGAAATCGAACAGTAAAATCTTCGAGGCATCTCTTGGTCCGTGTTTCCCCAAGATCTAAATCTCGAAGCCCGAAACTCGACTCCTCTGAGTTCAAATCCCTGAACTCTTGTCAGTTCTTGTTAGCTTCATGTTGCCCCTGCCGGGACGGCGCGATATCTTGTCGGAATACTCCGGGCAAGAAGACACGCCTACTCTGAGATTTCATGCAGAGCAGCCTTCGTTACAACATTTTGGAACAGAACTCTGCATTCTTCAGCCAATTCCAAGGAAATGCGGGGCTGATTCCGGTGGACGGTAAACTCACACTCCGGCCATCGCCTCTGACCCCTGCGGTCCCTTCTCGTTCAGCTGCGCGGCAGCCTGAGAAGCTGTCGCAACAGCTCGGCGCTTAGGCAGGGTTCATTCTTTCATGGTCTCTAAACTGTGCGAAAGCAGAGCATGTGCGGCGAATGTACGGTGGGTGGCTCCTCTGCCTCTTTCTTTTTCACCTGATTAGCAGAAACAATGAACCGAAGCTGTCTGAGATCCGGACTGCTAGAAGGATCTGCTTTAGCGCATTGGACTCGACGTTCACAGAGCTCTCTCCTGCGAGCACGGTGTCCCAGCAGCCGGCATGAGGTGATCCAATTCGATCGATGTTGCTGTTGGACCAAGGTTGGCTAGAATGAAACGCAAACTACATGCCTGCATGTGGATGGGTGTGTCGCTTGGGGACTCTCAAAAGAACGCTTCCCAGACTCGTGTGGGGTCAATTCGAGCTACCACTTTTGGCCAAAGATTCGGCACACAGGATCGGCAAATTCGCCGTATCTGCGTAACAGCACAGCCTGGATGAAAAAAGAAGCCGAACACACCCAAACACCGGGCCTTTGCCATTGTAGAATGCAGCTCGGACGGTGCTGTAAGCCTCGACGTATAGACAATTCTTCGAATGGCGATGGTGATATTCGATACACTCCACCCGTCCCCAATGGAGAATTAAGACGAAACGCTGCCAAAACTGCGGCCAAGCAGGTCGAGTGTGCAAAGGGACCCGCAGGAATTGCTGATCTGGATGCGGCATCGCTCTAAACACCACCAATTGATGCATACACCGTGCCTTCTTGAGGTTGGTTTGCACTTCGCCTCACACGAAAACTTCCACGAAAAGCTCGAATCGTTGCAGTAGGGTACCAAACCGAATTGGAGGTATTGTACCATTGTTTTTTCTGTCCTAATTTGTCTACACAACGAATCGCTTGAGTTAGTAAGTTCCTGAGTGGGGAAAACTAGCGAGGGCATCAGCAACTCAGTCGCTTTAGCCGACAGCAGCTTCGCTCAGCTCACAGTAAAATCACCTACTGCACTTAAGTTCATAGCCTCTTCAGATCGACTAAAGGCTTACAAGGTAGATCTTCTGTAGCTGGCTTAAACTAGTTCAAGGTCCTCCAACAGTATTTGCTTGCTCAGGTTTATCTTCCTGTGCCTGTGCTTGCCTCGTATTGTTGCTATTTCTGCTATGCTGTCGTTTGCCTTGCCGTGTCATCCATGTGTTCTTTGTTCTTGATGGTAAACATAAGCATTAGGGCCTAGGGGATTAAGCGCCTGCTGACATAAACGATGTGGTGTCTCGTGTTTTTTGGCCATACTATATAGTAGGCTATTTCTGCGCAGAATTCAATACCACAGGAGAATGAGAAACAGGACCGGGCAAAGCGCCGCCTCCACCTTGCGCAGCCATGGGAAGGCGCACACCACCAGTCAGAGCGAACAGCGGCTACTGGTAGCAATTACAGACTTTGCAAGTGGGCAAATGCGAGAAAGCGCAAACATGGGCGAGTGGCTTGCTCTTCAAATTCCTGTTGGCAGAAGCTGCTGCTACGATCCGATATATACCGCTGGTGGCATGTTCTGGTCCTATCAACTTCACGGACGCTGCATGAACCAGGGGCAGGAGTAAACCAACGTGAATAGAAGACTAGAGGTTAAGATCCCGTTGAGAAAGCACAGCCCAGTGACAGGGAATGTCGACCGTCGAGTTTGCATTTGGCAAATGCAGCTGTGTCTCACTCCACCCATCCCCCAGCTCCAAAACCATGCTCGGCATGCATCGAGATCATCAACATCAAGCCCTTGGGGCAAGTGGGACCGCAGCTTGGTTTCACAGGCACTCAGCCTTTATGCGCCGTGTTCAGCTTTGAATGAAGCTGAAGCAGTGTTTCCCGCTTGGCCCGTGTAGGTGACATGTGTAAAAGCTGTCCACGGTGCATTCGTGGCCGATCCTTGCAGCTTCTGGTTTGTGGGTGTTTTCTTGCCATTGGGGCACGTTTGCCTTCAGGTCATGAGCCTACGAGTTTGCAGCGGGCCTCTTTGGTCTCACACTTCATGGGCACCAAACTGCGGACCCAGGGCGAACTTGCTCTAAATCCAAAGCCACGTCGGAAAGTATTCACGACCGTCGTCGACGGAATTCTGTTTGAGGCTGAGGAAGGAAGCAGCGATGGATGTTCTATGTTTGCCTCTGTCTGTAGTGCGCGACAGGGGATCTGTAAATTCGGACGGAAATCCAGCTAAATGTGGGATGGAACCGGAGCAAGCACAAGGTTCCGACGGGCAGAACCCATCTGATTCTATAGGCGCGTCTAGCAGGCTCAATTACAGCTCCGTCGGAAGGCCTTGCCGGACGCGTCATCTCGAGTGTCGACTTTCAACTGGCTACGAGACATCTGCCGCTGAGTCAACCGAAATTCCGACCCTGGGGACTTGAGACCCATGTGTATCAATCCGTGCACGGTGCAGGCATAAAACTATCTAAAGCGGACATGGAGACAGGGTAGAATCTACAACTCTTTATGAAATGGGTCGGCCCGGGCGTAGCTTGTGATTGCACATCCTTAGACACAAGCGTGTAGCAAACAAGGAACATCTTGACAGGCCCGCTCAATTGGAAGTGCCGAGACGCGCACAGCATCTCAAGAGCAAGGTGTGAATCAAGCCCTGCACGCTGGACTTTTTCTGAAGTTGCGCCCCATCTCTGCAGGACGACCATGCTGAGTTCGAAATACTTCGTGTCACGCCCCGCAAAGCATTGGAGCCATGACAAGTTTCACCGTGTCTGCAATTGGTCTCTTTCGTGATTCCAGCCATCCAAGATACTTGAACATGCACACGGCGAAGTGCCTGTCTTACGATGCAAACGAAAAAGCCGTAATCCATCGCATTCTCCCTGCAACGGCCATCGCGTCGTGATGCAAGATGCCCAGGAGCAAGTGATAGCATGTGAACACATCACTCACCCGACGACAACAACGTGACATCACTGTTTGCCCACCCTCTCGTGCTCTGGCTGGCAACAAAAGCAGCAACGATGGGACTACTACTCGAAAGTTGCTTCTGTAGCTCGAGCGGCAGCAGCAAGAATCTGTACCTTTGGGACAACATCCACCAGTAAAGCGATGTTTCGCCCGGTCGTTTGGAGGAGGGGAGTCGTCCGGCTTGCAGGACGAAGCGTGCCAGATGCCTGCAGCGCATTTGCCATGTACTTAACGTCACGCAATTGATGTTGCCTTGCCAACTCTCAATCTTGCTCGAGATCATCGGGTGGAGTTCTTTCAAGAACTTGAGTCTAGAGGGGGTTAGGTGTGTTGCGCCCTTCTTCATGCTTGCCAGGAAATAAGCAAGCCGATACTCCATGCAATTCGTGCTCCTTGGGAATCCTGCCATGCTGGGCAGTTTGCCGTGCCTTCGGACGAAATCCTGCAGCTTCGTGCACCGCTGCCGGAAGATGACATCCTGCCCAAGCCACTCCTGCACACGGGCCTGGAGTAGTTCACAAGTTGAGTTCTGCAGCCTTTGAACTCGGTAGGCATGTAGGCTTTGCTTTCGGAGCCGCACTCCCACGTTGCGCAGCCAGACACCCAGCAAGGCCTCTTGCAGTCTGGGCCCTCTCTCGGCTGGAAGCTTGCCGTGCTTGGCAACAAAGGCTTCTGTGGCTTGCAAGTTAAGCTCCCACGGATCTTTCTGCTGCAAGGCAAGCATGACTTGAGAGAAGACGTCTTTCGCAATGCGAGACATTGATCCTCTGGCTGTCCTGGCATCGGCGATCCACAATCGAGATGTCAACCCCTGCTGGAGAAGCCGGCTATCCGCCTGCCCTATGACAGACATGAAACGTTCTAGCTGTGTGCTATGGCATTCGTCTGACAGCGCACACATCACGGGCCCGACCCTCGTTTTGACTCTGCCAGATCGTGGTGCTCCGCCAGTGTTAACCGAAAGTGCAGACGGAACATGCTGATGCTCTACACTTTGACTTTTGGTTGCTCCAGCTTGGAAGTCGGCAGCCCCGCTCGTGCTTCCACCAAAATGATCTGACTGGGCACGTGGCATTTCTTCCGACGGCGATGGTGTTTCATGACGAACTTGAACTTTTGAGTCAAGGCTGTGCAGCTTGGCTTGATGCGCTCTCTCATCGCCAGTGCAGCTCCCAGCCTTTCGACCACTGGCACATGCTGTGGCGCCTGTTCTGGCCCATGGGTCGAGCTCTCCGAATGAATGATTGATGCTACCTGGCTCAGCGAATCGTGTGCTGGAGCGTGTCACAGACATACGACTTGCAGATGCTGCCAAGCGAGAGTCAAACCAATCAAGACCATCTGACTGCTGATGCTGCTCATGGTGCTTGAACTCAGAGGCCGCGCCGGCCTTGCGAACTACATTGGATTGTAAACTTGCATTCCTTGTATCTCCACAACGATTCTGAATCTCCTTAGGTGGCACCTGCGAGTGATTCATTGCAACCGTCGATACAATCGCGACTGCAGGCAGCACCACATGAGCCAACGGCTTGGCTGGGCTGTGGCGCAGAACTCGCCCAATGGCCTGTATAATGCTGACATAGCTTCTGCGAGGCTCCACAAACATGCAGGTGTCTGCGCTGGGGATGTTCACACCCTCCCCCAACACCTGCACAGTCACCAGCACGTGTATAGGCTTCTGCAAGGGACCTGTAAACTCAGCCATGAAACTTTCACGTGTGCGCAGCGGCGTCTGTCCATTCATGTGCCATGCCGACAAGCCCAGCGATTGCAATACCTGCTGGAAGCGCACGGCTTCTCGCACGGAGTTGCAATAAGCGAGCACTCTCCTGAAGCGGCCAGCCTGGGACAAAAGAAACTCTGCCAAGCACAGGTAAGGGTGTCCTTCAGTAGTGACCGGCACCGTGAGGTCGTAGTCGCACAACACCCCATCTTCGATCGCTTGACCCAGCGTATACTCAAAGTCAGCCTCTGCCTCGTGAGTCGCAGAGAATTTGTACAACTCGCGTCCCTGTGGCATTCCCTGCGGGGTGGCGTGGTGTGCTTCGTCCATGAAGATACTGCTGAATTTGATGTTCCGCAGAAGGTGAGCGGAGTCTGTAACCGCAACAAAGCCCTGCGAGTCGTAATCAATGTTTCTGTTGTACCCCGTGCCCACTTTGCAGAAAGTGGGGAAATCTTCGGCAAACTGCTCCAGCAAGATGCGTGAAGGCACGGTGACCAGCACCTGGACTGCACAGGGGGGTGGTCGCAGGAGGCGGCGAATTTGAAAGACTGCTGAGGTAACTTAAGACTAATTACACTCAAGGCTGATCCGGGGTGCTCGGCCAGATGCTTTCATAGCAAGCTCATGAATTATGCGCGTCTTCCCGGTCCCACAAGCTAGCTCGACGTTGCGAGCTCCTTGGGCGCATGCTTCCAGGCAGTCCATCTGACAACGACGGAGAGGAGGGACGATAAGCTGGCAGGGAGATTCTGCGGCGGGATCCTTCGATGACGCAGTTTTCAGCAGCCTGCGTAGCCAAGACTTGCTAAAGGCCTTAGCCTGGGCCGAATATTGTCCAAGCCATCGCTTTGAATTTGCTCCCAGCTTGCATCCTTTCGTCGTCACCACGATGTAGCTGACTGCCTGCACTTGTGAAAGTTCGGAGTTTCAAAGCCGCTTCATAGCTAGTCTCACGTGTTGGCACTCCCCGTGCTGTTCAAAATAACTATTGATTTGCTTTGATTCAGCAGCTTTGCCAACATGCGGCCGGGCCGTCCTTGCAAACATGTCGTGCGGTTCGCAAGAAGCGCTTGACTTCTACATGGCGAAGCGTTCCGTTCATGCCGACGCTGCACAACACCGCTCGGAAGCCGTCGAGACTGAGCAGGTCTACGCCTGTTCCAGACGGCTTGGGATTTTGGACTCTCAAGCTCTTCGGGGTTTAGGGTCTTGGGGTGTACTCTCAGGCAAGGCTTGACGACAACTAGTCCAACTACACACACACACACACACACACCTTCAGCTACAGGCAGAACATGGAGCTGAAGTGCCAACCAACCAATCGCAACTCCATGCAAATTCAGAACAAGCTATCAGAACTAAACTCGAAAATCAACTACTCACACTCTTGACAAAAGTGATGCTCGCGCTCCAGGAGTGCTGCGGAGTTCAGGAAGTACCAAGATACTATATGCCACCCAACCAAAAAACATGCAATAATGGAAATATCATTTTATGATTTTATCCGGACGGCTGAGTAGTGTCATGAACGGATGTGTGCAAGCAGCAAGCATCCTGCCTAAGCTTCTGCGGGTGAGGTTCCGCCGTTGCAGGAACCATGGCGGCAGATCCTGCAGCATATGCTGAGATTTGCTGCTTGCTGTGCTAGACTAGACATGTATGTATAAGGTCACAATCCCCATCTGCAGCTCTCCTACAATTTCTGTACTCGATTGCTCAAAGTCTAAACAATCTAGCCAAGATACTCAAGCTCAGGATCGAGCTCGTAGCTCGTGCTATCACTTCCTTCACTGCTCAAGCTTGATCCGTGCGTCCGTGCGTGGTCCTGTGTCGGCACGACATCGAGCTCCAGAACGGCAGCCCACATGAGACGCTGCTGATCCTCCAGAAAAGGCCAAGTCAGGGCCTCCCTGGCCAGGGTACGATAGCGCTCCATGAAGGCCGCATCCCGGCCTTGCACGAAAGAAAGCTTTACATATATCCGAAACTGAGGTGTGGATGTACTTTGCGGCCGAACCGAAAACTGTTTTACCGTTGCTTGACGGGTCAGTGCCAGGACACCTGCAAGCCTGCGGGCATGTCTCTCGGGTGAGATCACTTCGAAGGTAACTATGCGTTTCATTCTCAAAATTATGCACCACTATGCACCCCAACAAGAAATTGTTCCAAGGATCTCGGTTCAGCCGGTGTGAGGATTTTGTCCCCACTTTGTGCAGGAGAGGCGGAGCACCCAACCGTCCTTCGCAACCTTGCAGCCACCGGCACTTCAAATGATTTCTCAGGAATCTTACGCTCTGTCCGAGATGTCGAAGTATGGACGAATCGCTGAACAAGGCTGGGGTCATTGGAGTCAGAACGAGGCTAAGTTTCGGGTGTCGTGCAGGCGGTTTGGGCTCTAACCGCTGCTCTAATTCAGGAAGAACTGCCGAACAGCTACACTAAGTGAACACAACAAACTTTCCGTCTTTCCGTTGCCCCTTTGCCTGCAGATGCGCCCTGATCCACCAATCCAGCTCCAGTCTCCAGGGCATAGGCAGCAGCACAGCCAAGTCAGGGTTGACGCAAGCAGGAGCCGCCTGCATTCTGGGACCTGCTTCTTTGAATGTACAGGATCTGCAGCCTAAGCCCCCAAATTCAAGCTGATAATCCGAAGTGAACCCTGCATGGAAGCACGGTCATTTTCCGAACGGTGCAGCGTTATAAGGAAAACCCAACAGTTCCGTCTGCCTTCCTCACGGTTCGGAGAGCTCTGTTCCTCCCTGTGGCTGACATTCAACGTCTCGCGGCCCGCGCCCCCTGCCGGGCAGCACTATGCAGTGCCCATTTCCGTACGGGATTCCTGCCGAAAGGTCTACGAAGCTTCCGGAAGCCCGAGGCGCGGCGCATATGACATCACCTCGCCTTCAGCCTGCGTGACTTGCGTGATTCCTGTCCAAAATCCTGCATGTTGCTTACGAAACAACAACCGCATTGTAGGATTGCTTCAACCCCCAAAACGAACTTCAAGCTTCCCTTCAACCCTGCGCAGCGATGGTTGCAGCCGCTTTTTGCCATGCAATGCGGATTGATTAGGACATTCATTGGCAGTGCAAGCCAGCGGGCATGGTTTAGCCCCGCCGTCTTGTGCTGCAGTGAGGGCCACGCGCCCTGTTGACTGCGAGATACTGTGAGCTTCCTACCAGGCCCAGCTTTCGGGATTCGGGCTTCAAGGCTTAGCGCTTCAGGTTAGGGTTAAGGTTTAGGTCCCGTCCAAGCTTGGAGCAAGAGCTCGTCACATGCATGCGGCACTGTCTCCAGCCGGTCATCGGATTAGACATCTATGTGTGGGTATATATAAGTCACATTCAAAAATCGAATAGTATAAACATATGCATGCCGGAAGGTTTCGAACTGAATCCGTCTACCCTGTCTGCTGCCGAGCTCTTCATATATCGGCTCTTCGCTGACTACTCGAACTTGTCCTCTCTCCTTGGTCGTCATGCAAGGTGTTGTGCCAGCCACGGCTTAGCAAGGCGAGAGATGGAAGCAGCACGGTACACTGAGGACACCACTTCCCAGTGATTTTTCGATGGGCGCACTCCAAGCACCTGCAAAACGTAGATGCACGCTGCATGACTCCTACTTACAGCTGAGTGTACGAAGGGCGAGTAGGTGAAAGGAGCTCGCAGTCTCATGGACCAATCTTTAAGCAGGATCATGATCGCAAACTTCTACAGCCGAGATCACGCCTGATGAGCAGCAAGGCCGCAATGAAGACAATCGCTAGACTGCCGCACGCAATGAGAATCACCAGGATCCCTGGCGCTCTTTCCGACGTGGTGACTGAGGGAGAATCGTTCTTCCTGGGGCATCTGCGTGGTTTTTTAAACTGCAATACCTGTCTGTGCTGCAAAGCTCGGCCCCTTGACCAAAATCCCGGGGCTCCGGCCTGACGGCTTTCCTTGGCTCAGGGCACGTTTAAGGCTCAGGGTCTTCGATTTGCCGCTGCTCGTTCCTACACCGTTCATGGCCTCACTTCTGACATGCCCCATGATGACACAAACCGAACCAAAAGCAGCATGAAGCTCTTCATGACTCGTCTGATCATATCCCATGATGAAGCACTGGACAGCACAGAAGCCATCTGTCCGTGATCGTGCAGCCACAGGCTCTGGGCGCCTGTGCTCGGGCGCAGGGAAGGAGAGCAGCAGCAAGCCTGGTGGTTGGGCGTCTATCTATCTATCTATCTATCTATCTATCTATCTATCGCGCTCTTCTCCGTCTGTGTATCTACCTGCCTGCCTGACTGACTGGCTGTCCGTCTGTAAGCTTATCTGCCGACCTATCTGTCTATTTACCGATCTATCTATCTATTTATCTATGTGTGACGTATACACAAATGAAGACTTAACTTGTAACGTCTGTCAGACTCGCACATTGCAAAGCAAAAACAGTGACTTCTTCGTTTCAGCACTTTGTCACTGTGGCTGGTTGAACGTTTTGTCTGGTGCACAGGGTTCTAGGTGCAACAACGTGGCCTTGAAAAACCCTGGCTCGAAAGGCATGCAGCTGTTGATATGTTGAAATGCTCGGTTCGAAACTCACGAATATTTTATTCCCAAACAGCTGCTCTACCAGACTCTATCACGTAAGTAACGGCTCGAACGGACCTGACGGCAAGCTGGGGTCGTGGCAACACCGCGAGAAGCTGCTTTGGCGGTGCTGCCACCATCATGGCCTGGAGCGACCGGCCAGGGTTTAGGGTTTAGGGTTTAGGGGTTTAGGGATTAGGGATTCGGGAAGCCATAGGCTAATCCGCAAAACATCGTCACACTCCTTAGCCTGCGTGGAAAAACCCACTGCACTTCAAACTCTGCTGCCACCTTACGCCTTGAAGGGCTTCACAGAGCCAAGTTTTTTAAACTACTACTGCTCTCGAAGGACTGAAATCCCATACTGCTACAAACCCTACAGAGCTCCGAAAACCGTAAACGCACTGCCCGAAGTTCCGAAACCTGAAACCGTAGATCTAGCAAGCTAAACCCATAACCACCAACACCCCAAATACACAGCTTCAACGCAGCACTGTCAGTATGTTTGCAAAGGCCGTGCTTGGAGGCTTATGGGTAGTTATAAATGGAGTTAGAAGTCTCCTAACATGGGTCACAACTATAGTTACCCTACTTAGAAGCCTACTTATAAATACCCATGAACCTCCAAGTGCCAATCCCCCAAAACCCATCCCACTGGCCTCGCCCTCCTCGTCCCCGCTGGCCAGGAGCTTCACGGGAGGCCAAGGGCCGATGAGCAGAAAACAGCTGAACGGCAGGGGGCCCTTTTTTTGAAGAGAGCTTCCGGTTCAGAGTTTCGGATTAAGGGTTTCGGGGTTTACATGGTTTAGGGTTTAGGAGTACGACTTGGATTAATTCAGACTTCTGCGTTTGAGGATCTGTAGTGGCTTGCTTTGGGTGCTGTTTTTTTCGCAACGCTGCCACGAAGCCCTTTCAGAATTTGGGCCTTTGGGGGCTCGTTGGGTTTATTAGAGTCTCAGGTTCCGTGGCTCAGGTATTCAGGACAACCGCCAGTATCCTTGACGGTGACGTGATGCGACTATGGGGTCCGGGGTGAAGCTTGTGAGTACTGGGCAGTGTACCGTCCGTTTGACCCCCTCCCTGAAGGCTTCCATAATACGAAGTCTTCGCACTACTCGGAAAGGTACTGGTGACTAGTGCGATACATGTTTTAAGTACTTCCACAGGCAGTGTTGGTGGTGCCTACAGAAATGAAGGTGCAGTTACGATTGCGCAACGTTGCCAAGGGCCAAGGAGAACCACACGATTCAAGATGCCACGGGCTCTGGCTACTCTGCTCCAGATCCGTGCCTTCATCTAGAAATTCCTATAGATCCCTGTAGGAGTCTTTTAAATTATAGTAATCCTTTAGATTAGATCCCTTTAGTACGAAAGACCTATATAGAAACCCTTATAGATCCCTTTAAAACGCTCATTAGAGGAGCCCTTTAACAGGATGATTTAAACGCAGCTCAGCTGGCTTCAACTTTGAGAGCCAGGAATGTCCTGACCTCCTTCGGGAGGGGTTCCCTTCAGGGACCTAGGGTCGACACAAGAAAGGCTGCCCTCTCGCAGACCTCCCAGGAAAGGGTTCAGGGTTTAGGGTCAGTTTAGAATTTGGGATTTGGAGGCAGGTGTTTTGGTGCTGTGCTTCGGGGATAGGGTTCAGGGCCGGCGGTGGCCAGCCGCAGCAGAAGCGGCACAAGGTGCCTACACCGAAATTCTGCAGCATTGTCCCTCCGACTGGCTGCTCACAGCCTAAATCCCAGAACCCGAGACCCTAGCAGCCCAACACCCCAAGGCCCTAAACGCTAGAAGCGGTTTCTTGGCGGACTGCAATCGGGACTATTGTCAGGTGAAACGAAACAGCAAAGTCACGGGCAGTTCCCACCGCATTCTTATGCCTTATTGTACTAAATTAGGGCGGTTAGGGCCAAGGTTGAGGGCTCAGGGTTCAGGGCCCCGAACAACAGTCCTCCTCTTGTAGGTTTAGATGCATGCGAACTCAAGATGATATGCATAAACCCTAAAAACCCAAGAAAAAGGAAGCGAGTCCCCCCACTTGGCAATCTGCATTTTCTCAAACAAGCCATTGGGAACTGCTCGCGTCACAGCTGGAGGCCCTAAAAGCTACGTGGTTTTCGGTTTAGAGGGTTTAGGGTTTAGTGAATTTAGGGATGCTTAGGCTTTTGGTTAGGGCTTTAAGCTTTGAACTAAAGGCTACTCCTCCCTGCCAGGGTTTTTCACAGGAAGCAGTCACGGATACCTTCCTGTTGCAGAAAGTCCTACTGCGTGTCGTTTCCGGTCACTTAAAACATCACGATTTCAGGCTGTCACTTAGCCACAAGTCCGACCTCAGGCGGTAAAGTTCCGGTAAAGGAAGCTGGTAAGGCTTGGCACCGAGCACGACGACGGCTTCTATCAGCTCGTATAAGGCAACCGAAGTGGGTGTACTTATGATGGTCTCGACTTGTTCGAGAAACCTGGTCGTGCTACTGACACGATTTCAACACAGCACTGATCACATCCACTCCCACTGCGGCGGCAGAGCACAAGGCAATCGTCTGGGGTCCAGACCCTTCAACAACATCTCCTGAGCTCTTCGGCACCAGATGAGCATGGGGCATCGTGCACTCACATTGTCATACCCGGATGGCTCAGTGGGAACTGTGGGGCACCCTCAATCGGCACACTGCTGCAGCCCCACTCCCAAGAGTGCAATTAGTTAGCGAAGAACAAACCATGTTCCCTCCACGGTCGGAGAGAACACGACGACTTCACTCCGCCGGTTCGCGCGCAGCAGTGCAGGAATGTCGCCCGGAAATGCTCGCATAAGAAATCATTCAGTCAGTTGTTATGCACATGCTACCAGGTTGTTGTTGGTGAAGTCTTCGCTCAAAAGATGCAGGGCTCGCGTACGCATTCGCTCACACATACATACATATATGTATATAATATGTACATCTACCTACCGATCTATCTATCTATCTATCTATCTATCTATCTATCTATCTATCTACCTATCCATCCATCCATCCATCCATCCATCCATCCATGCATCCATCCGTCTATCTATCAATCTATCTATCAATCTATCTATCTAGCTCTCTCTCTCTCTCTATCTATCCGTCCATCCATCCATCTAACTATCCATCTACATATGCACACATGCAATGCCTGCCCTGCTTGATTGCATGCTGCACACTCCAATCAATCAATCAATCTATATATATATATATACATATATATATATATATTTATATTTATTCATTTATTTACACTTGCTCCCGTCAAGTGCGGAAACCTGCGAGGTAGATGTGCGTGTACTGTACATATGCTGTGCAACATTTCGATCCTTTCGAACCCTCTTGCTCCTTGTACAGAACTGTAACCCCGAAGCCTAAACCCCAGTGCCCCGGCCCCCTTAAACCCTCTCATGACAGCCAAGCTTCGTAAACCCGGTGTGCATACTGCAGCACTGCCGCGTCACCGGAGGCGCCACGCAGGCACTGGCCTGGTATAACAGGCTTCCTTGGATTCCTTCTTAGAATCTATATATATATATATATATGTGTGTGTGTGTGTATATATATATATATAAATAAATAAATATATATATATATATAAGGGTTACTAAGGCTGGTTCCATAACATAGAGGCCTTAACAACTAGAATAGGGTTCTGGGGTATATAGTATATGCAACCCTCAAATCTTAAACCTTTGCAATTAGAGCCGCTATTTAGCACGTATTGTCCGCTGGTGACTGATCTTTTCTCGAGAGGCGAAGGCAAGATTGAAGCCTGTGAGCACTGATGTGACGGTATGCAGTGCTAGCTAGCACCATGCCGATAACCGCAAACATGGCCAATGAGCATCATGATGGTCATGTTCGCTATGGTACGTATCAGCACAGTATATTGCCCGAATCATGATGCAAGCATCCGGCCAGCAAAATCGCCGACATCGGCTCTTCCGGTATCAAAGCTTATCACCAGCTCCTGTGACCTGCTAGTTGAATTTCATATCATACCCCAGCGCCGATGATCCCTTGCCAAGAACTTTTCACCCCGAGGCCTGCGTGTCAGTCATGTATACATATGTACATACCTATGTGTACATACATCTCTACATACACACATCTGGTGCTTATTTATGCGCAGGTGTATATATATATATATATATCTGTGTGTGTGTGAACATGCACCACAGTACCCGGTGTCCCGAAGCCCCTATAGACCCGTTGCCCTGCACAAGCCATATACTGGTGAAAGGAATCTGTGGTCCACGCATTTGTTGCACCGCTGACGACGGGGGAAGTTGATGTTGCCTGGACGCTTCGCTTTGGTACAACTGCGGATTTCGGCGTTTCTGGCGGGTTGGAGAACTCACTGTGGTCTAAGCACCGGTTTTGTAGGCCTGATCTATGATCTTACCCTAAACCCCTAAACCCTAAACCCCTAAACCCCTAAACCCTAAACCTTAAACCGTATGTTACACCCAGCTTTCTTGGCAGACCGGCGCTGTGAGAAATGACCGAAGCGCTCCTGCAGCCGGCGAGGATGGCTATGGAGCCCGGACCCAGAAGCATGAACCCCGAAAAACCGAACCCTAAAAAACCTACAAGGCGAATTTTCCGGTCTGCCGATGACTCTAATTTAGGGTTTAGGGTTTAAGGTTTTTGAAGTGTCTTGTCGCCAAGATGCTGCAGTTCTCACAGCGCCAGTTGCCGTCCTGCACATTCTGAGGCAGAACCAAGCCCGAGGGCAAAGTCCCAAGCCCCACAAGCCCCGCAAGCTGCAATTTTTCCCCCAATGGCGAAATAGCAAGGTGGATAGAACTGAGAAAGAGTATGGGTAGTTCTCTAAGTTAGAGTCGCTTTTTTAGGTCCTCAAAATTGTACGGCACCCTTATTTAATAGGATATTTAAAGGGACCCTGATTTAGAGAACTGCCCGTATAGAGAGGAGGTAAACTACCGTGGTTTCATGATCTGGTACCCACCTGAGAGGATCTGTACTCATGCAAGTAGGCCCTACACCTACGCAAATTCATTACAGTAGGCGAAGACGGCATGAGACTCGGCCATGCGGCGTTGACTCAGACAACATTCCCAGAGATCAAAGTCCTCTAAGCTCAGGCTTTCAAGCAGTAGATACCTAAGTCCTGTCATGGAGCATCCGACAGGAACACGGGAACCCCGTGACACCTAGACACCTGGTTGGTGAGCAAACACGACATGCTCGGAACAAGCCCTTAACACCCGAACCCTAAGGCATAAATCCAGAACCCTAAACCCTGCATTCCTTCTGGCTGAACCGTCAGATCTTTTTGGTGATGTATGCCGATTCAGCTTGCACAAGCTTTTCAGCAACGGTGCTGTGAGACGGAGAGAGAGCAACCACATGTGTTCTGGCTCTGTCAGGGAACCATACCGTTATGAACCCTATCGTGGCCCTATGGTAGCTGAAAGATCTATGCGATTGTGGGAGGTCTTCTGTAACCTTGCAGGCTCTAGCTGCAACCCCTCCTGAGCCCCTAAGCCCTCCCTAAACCCTATATACCCTAAACCCTAAACCCTGAACCCTAAACCCTGGAATTTCCAACAGTGCCGGAAGCCGGTAACTCTCAGGGAAAGTAGATTCCAAAGCTATTGCAGCTCTCATTGCTGCATCGCTCTGGGAAGTCATATCCCAAACAGGTGAAGTCTTGTGCGTAGACCTGGCTTCCACGGCAAAGTAAGCGGCGTCGGGGGGGGGGGGGTATTCATCGCTGCTTTCATGTACTACTGCGTAGTTAAGTAATTGTGCCTTTCGGCCGCAGATGAAGTCTGGATCAACCCCTGACTTGCGTTCCTTTGTCTTCAAACGACAATGGCTACATCGACTTCACAACACATTCCTCGTACTTCCTCCTTAGCTTGGGCACTTATGGCTTGTCCTGGCATCTGAGCTCAGTGCATCTGGAGTCACCACTTGGGCGTCGTCAGTCTGACAGATTAGAGATGCACCCCTGCAAACGTGAAAGCCGTGCCTTACAGACAGCGCAGATCGTCTTCGTGTCGGCAAAGATGGCATCGAAGTAAAGCTGCTTCAGCTTACTGTCGCCACTGGAGTTTTTTTCTTCCTTCTCCTCGCGTTTGGAGCTTGCAACATCCAAAAGCTCCCAACAATAAACCTCAAATCTCAACCCCCTCAACCCCTGAACAGCGTTGACGTGTGCCCTCAGTCACTGCTGTGCTGCTCTGGACCTGGAGTTTCGCCTGAACTCCGTCCTTGACTTATGTGGTTTCGAAAGTTTAGGAAGGTGTACAATTGTTCTCAAGAAGGATTCAATGGCCTCCAAGAACCGCCTAGTTAGTGGCTTCGGGTTGAGGGCGTTATCTCGCCAGCTAGTTGTTTACGGTAGAACCAGCAGGTTGCTCCGACTGTCGTCGGCACTGCGGGCATGAAATTCTTGGGGTCTTTGTCACCTGTTGTTGAACGAGGTCTCTCCGGGAGGCATCTTCGTAACACTATAAACCCTGTAGACACAGGCACTGCTTGCATGAGATTCGAGGCACAAAATCCCCCCCAAACGTCTCAAAAGGCCCTGTCTCCCTCTCCTCGGAGCGGAGCTTGGGGCTCCAAGGCTTGTGGAGGACCCCGAAAATCGGAATCTCACATCGAACCCTGTGCCCTAAAGCCTTTTCGCAACTGGAGATGAGATTCACCACTGCCAGAGGACATGCACGTTACACGCCTAAATGTGGCGACGGCCGTCCTGAATGTCGATCTGCGTAAGCCGGCTCAGTTCCTGGCCACCGCTTCGGAGAAATGGGCTTACCAGGATTTCATCAGATCTCCATAAGGGTGTTGCAATGTTTCGTCTAGGGCTTTATGGGGTTTCACAAGGCCTCTATGAGAGCCTTAAAATTTCTTCTGAGGTTTTGGAGGGGTTGTTTCAGGGTTCCTACACTATATTGATCGTATTTTTCAAGGACTGTTTTTAGGTCTTGGTTTTCGGAAGCTCCCATTTCGGTGTTGGGGTGGAACAGGTAGGGTTCAGGGACGTTGGTTGTAGTTGTAAAACCCTAAACCCTAAACCCTAAACCGGGGTTCCTGCCCCGCGCTCTTGCCATCCACATCCTTGTTACTAGTCGCTATTATCACTACCAAGATCTTCCAACAAATCCCTTCATAAAGGACCTTACTATAAAATTGACTCATGTTAGGGATCCTAATAGTGTTGAAGGCATATTCCTTCATCAAAGGATTTTGGAAGCTCTTGGTAGCTCTACGACTTACAGGCAGGCCTGCAGGTCGCGGTTGAAATTGTCCACTTCCAGCAGGAAGTCCCAGGCAATGGGATTGCCAAGCCTTCGACTCTTTCAGGTCATGGGCACAAGGGCGTTTTGCTTAGGATTTAGGGTTTTTTCCCCTCTCCCTCTCAGGCACAAGGGCTTTTTGCTTAGGATTTAGAGGAAAAATAGGGTTTAGGGCACGAGGGCGTAGGGTTTAGGATCTATCTTGCGGCTCAAGGTTAAGAAGTTGGTCTTTGGGCGGTGGTTACATTCGAGCTTCGGGGGTAGCTTTTGATTTGGGGCGTCAGAGGTTCGGGGAGTTTTCGTGGCCATGATGATATGGGCTTTGGCGTGCTTGGACAGGGTCACCTGGAGCGCACTCAGGACCAGGACCGTGCGTGCGTCGAACTCCGATTTCTAGTAAAGGCACAAAGACAAGAACAAACATCTTCAACACAGTTCCTTCACAGATTACAGCGCAATCGTCTTCTGCACTTGTCAGCTTTGACTGCGCTTGGGAGTTTGTCAACACAAACAATCATCCAAGGTTCTCTGGGTCAGAACGGGACATAGTAGCACCGCCATGCGCTCAGCCCGGATGCTGGCAGCCCTGATAAAGAATTAACTTCGGACGCTGCTGTAAAGTTCCGAAGCCCTGAACTTTGGGCTCATAGTGTCGCCACCCCGCCAGAACTTGCAAGAATTAATGAAGGTCCCACTCGCGGTTCCTCAAACGAAGGATCCTCGTTATGTGGGTTTCGGGTTTCATGCTTGACATATCTCTCCATCATGTGTCCCGCTCTCTACTCACCTCAACACGGCAAATTGTGGGTTGAGGGTTTATAGGTATGGGCATATATATATATATATACATACAGAGAGAGAGAGAGAGACAGAGATGGCATCGTACATGGACGAACAAGACTGAACTACTCAAATGTTTTAGGCACCACCTACGCACCTACAAATTGAATCCCTAAACTCTATTTCTTTCCTGAAGCGGAAGATCAAAAAACCAAACTTCATGAAGCCTAAACCCTAAACCTTAAAACAAAAACCCTAGACCCTATTTCTCCCTGTAATTTGGGGCGAGGAGCAGGTCCGTTGCAGAGAGGAAGTAGCTCTGAGTCGCGTGCTCGCAGCTCCTGTAGCCAGACCCTCCCCAAATCCCTGAATTCAGCAATGTGCCTTACATCAACTCTGGGATCTACTATAAATAACGCGTCTCAAGGCTACAGTGGAGTTAGGGTTTAGAGTTTAGGGTTTAGGGGCTCCTTTAAAGGGATCTATAACGGTTACTATGAGGGTTCAGGGTTTGCCGGTTTGGGGTGTCCAAGCCTTGGGTCCCGAAAGCAGCGGCTCTTCTCGACAGCTCCGGCCCATTCTGACATGGAGCTTCGGACAACAACCGAAAAAAATCAACACCCTTACATGAACTCGAGAGGAAGGAATATCAAAGAGAAAAAAAATAAAGCTATGCAAGCCAGGCAGGGCTATTTTGGGGAAGTCCTCACATGACCTAAGCCTGAGCCTTTCTCCACAATCTGAAAAAGCCCCATAAAGGCAGCCAGAAAACCCTGCAGACTAACCCACAAACTCACATAACAACACCAAAGCCCCTCGACCCCTCTACAGCCGAACCCTTTCCAGCCCTGAAGCCCTAAACTCAACCCCCCTAAACCCTAAACCCTAAACCCTCAAAGAGAACTCCAATAGTTTCAGGGGCCCCTCACACTTTGTGCCCACCTCCACTGACCCGGGAAGTCCCTCAAGAGCCGTTCGGCTTGGTGCTGCGCCTCCAAGAATCCCTTTGATCAGGCTAAATTAAAAAGTAGGATATAGGGTGTTTTGGTTATATTGCATGATGATTCCTAGTCCTAGAATTGCTATCAAGTACAGTAGCATTGCAACATGTAAGAAAGAGCCCTTAGCAAAAGCACTCGTGGCTTCTATGTTACTTTCAGATGTTCATAGGCTTTTCCTTCCCGGGATTTAGACCGGTGCAGCGTGATGGGAGGAGAGAACATGGAAACATGAATGCCTGTTTGGTGATCCGAAACCCTCGGCCCAGGGGTTGTGTTAGACACTACAATTCTGCGGCTCTGGCCGTCTGTTTTGTAGAGTTTGGGGGGCTGCAGGTCGTGCCAGCATTGACAAACATGTTGTCACCGGCCGTGATTCGCGGTCTAGGGTTTAGGGGTTTTTGGGGTTTAGGGTTTCGCTGTTAAAAAGCTCCGAGGACTTTTGCGGCCACGGCAGGGCTAAAACCATTCCAACATGAAACAACGACTCCTGGAACCAGCGAAGCGACTGAAGGATTCAAGCTGGGCTCAGACTCAATACCATGAACATGGCAGGCCGCAATATAAGGTTAATAATTAGAATAGGGTTTTGGGCTCCTTTATAGTATGAATGGTAATAATAATAATAGTAATAATAAGGAGCTGCGCCTTAAATAATATAGGTAATCATTGAGGCCCGTATAGTAGCGAAATTCCCAGGCCGTCCCCGGCCCGAACATCCTTGCACTGCTTCGGCAGCGAGCCTGCTGCACCACGCCGGCACAGGGCATGCCATCACCTTGAAGTCTTAAACCGAAAACAAAACCAACAAAACCCTAGTGGACCGGGCTACAGCCCCAAAAAGAATCGTGTGAACTATACAATCCACGCTCCCTTTGAGCATAGGTTTGCTTTTCGGAAAGGTCGTCTCAAACTCGCCAAGAAACTCCACCTGCTCCCTGCATTGTAGTGCTTTTTCAAAGGGATCTCCCTGGTGCTACGGAATGCTGCTATTCCAACTGCCACATGTCTAAAGGCCTTACACACACAAGCGGCACTCCAATCCCTTGTCCCAGCACAAATCTCGCTAAACCCCCTAAGCCCTCACCCCCTAGCGAAAAGCCTTCAACCTTGCTGAAAGTCGAAGCCCGGACACCCTTACACCGTGAATGATCTGTTTCGTTTTGTGTTTCGCAGCCATAAGCCAACACAATCAACTGAGCAATTCTTGTCTTTATTTAAACCTTTGCCCTAAACCACCACAAAGAAACAGTTCCTGTCAGCACCAGTGGCAGCTTGGAAGGGCAAAATGCTCGTTCACAGATGCGACGAAGCGGTCCAGCGGGTGTCGAAACGTCGCGATCTTCCTGGAACAGCAGGATCGAGATGCACCGTGCTTATAACAGGGTTCCTGAGCAGTTCCCCTCCAATCATCGGAACGACAATTCCGTTGGGGGCTTAGGGGGTCACACGTTGGTATTAGGCCGCGTGGGGCCGCGACATCTCTGTTTGGGCTTGTTCTCGAAAGTGCTGGTATTTGCAGGACTTTTGCGGTTTGGAGTCAAGATTGGGGTTTATGTCTGAAGGCTCCACTGAGCTAACGAAAATTTAGGAAGCGCTTTCAACAGCTGCGAGCTTTCAGCCCACGGCTGGAGTGAACAGAACACGGAGACCATGGCTGCAGCTCTAACCGCTGTGAGCTGATACTTTCGGGGCTAACGGCACGCTGCCGCTTCCGAGGCGGCGTTTCATTTGGGCCAGACATGCTGGCTGTGTCATATTGTTGCCAACATTACTCAACTGACACAGACTGCACCTAAAGCAACAATACCCGAAGCCTTCTGTACCTAACGCAGCAACAAGACCTGAAGTTTCCCCCCCCACCCCCCCCGCCCCACGTGTCCTGACAGGGCACACGACAGAAGTATCAATCAAGCTAGCAAAATCTTAGGAAAAGCACATGGCCCGATACGCGCGTGTATGGGTTTAGGGCTTTCGGTGCGTGCCAGAGGCTCGCAGAAACCCAACACTTTCGCAGGATCCTAGAGTAAGATTTACGGCACATTCATTAGCTCAAAGCCCAAAATCAGAGACAAAAAGCCTATAAGAAGCACCAAGAATCGGCTTAGCTACCAAAAAACAACGCTAAGCCCTTAAGACTGGGTCCTAGACCGTACAACACCCACAAAAAACTGCTAGGACTCGTGACTAGCAGACAAGGAGCCACCGGGCATCCGTGACCCCCGAGCTAAAGGTGGTCGTCCAGCTGCAGCCTGTCACAAGCTTACCCTAAGGGTCCATGTACCCAAATAGTACATACTTTGGCCCCAATGTACGTATATAGGGACTACTTTAAGGCCAAAGTACATACTATTTAGGTACATGGACCCTTAGGGTTAGTTGCGGGCTCGGAGTCGGGGTGTTGCAACGGAGTTCAGGGTTCAGGGTTCTGGGTCTGCTTTGGTAGACTTCTCGCTTTGTGCTTGCCATCCTCGTGCAGAGGCCATGCTGATCTCCAAGGATTCCCTTCAAAGCCTGGGGTTCGGAGTTTAAGGGCCTGGGGTTGAGGATGCATTATAGCCCCACCAGCCTCATCAATCTCAGGGCGAACCTGCTGAATGCAAGGGAATATCCAGCTCAAAACAGCAACACACGGGCCCCGAAGCAGCCAGCGCTAAACGCCAAACCCTCCATGCAAGAGACGACACGGGAAGCTGCTTCCTGCAAAGCTTGACCTGCAGAGACAACATTAAACAACAAACATGTACCCGAGTCCCACATAAATCTGTCAAAACTCATGTTGCACACACCCACAACGTCTCTCAAACCCTATCCTGCCTCAAGCCTCAAGAAAGCCTGACCTGCGCCCAAGGTTCACGGCACTAAACGTTCCAACTGGTCCCCTAGGCGGCTATGCCAGTCATGAACCCAACCCGGTACATCCATAGCACACCATGAAGCCCTGGACCACTAAGCACTAAACTTAAACCCCGAAAGCCTTAATAAAAACCCAAACTCGAAAAGCCCTTTGCGCAGCCCCAGTGGATCGATCTCGATCTCGATCTCGATCTCNNNCTCTCTCTCTCTCTCTCGGACTCAGTGAATCAGGTCCCCGAAACCTGCCATAAACAACCCCGTTTACGAAACTCTACGCAGATATGAGACAGAACGGAGCAAGGAGAGCTCCTGGTATAAAGCCCTATGGAAAAAAACAGACAACTCTATCAAGATCAATCTGCCGTGAAAGGTTTAGGGTTTACGGTAAACCCCCAGAAAGGCCGATGAAAGGAGGGCTTGCCTGGTAGGTGGCCTTGTGCCCCGCAGTCTGACAGATTTTTCCAGTGCGGGCCCATGAAGCGAGTCGTGTTCGAGACCTTCCTGGGAATGACGGTCTAGGGGTTTGGGTTTAGGGTTTAGGGCTTAGGGATTCCTAGGAACGACGGTCCTGGAAATGATGGTTCAGGGGATTGGGTGTAGGGTTTGGGGTTTGGGGATTGGGGGTTAGGGTTTATAGGGTTCAGGGTTTAGGAACGACGGTTTAGGGGCTTAGGTTTCGTTTGCTTAATGTCTCACCTTAAACACAAACCTAAAAAGAACATACAGCAATAGGGGTTGCGTGCAAATACCAAAATTTGAGGTGAAGTTTGCTCCGAAATCCAAACCGAAGCCGCAACCTGAAACTTACAAAACTGTGCATTCCAGCGACCATAGGGCATCTGTCAAGCTTGTGGAGGCACACTTCCACACCTCGCACGCAGCCACTTAGACCCATGACGGGACATCCAGGGAATGTAACGTTCTGCTGGGTCTCGCTCTCTCTTTCTCTCTATCTGTCTCTCCCTCCTCTGTCTGGTATCTCTGGTCAGACTGGTCAGAGGAATGCGAACTGCAATTAGACAGAGGCGAAAACCAGTAGTAGATGCTGATGCTGCGGGTAAGGATGATAGCAGTACTGACGTGGGGCATCGAGTTTCCCTACATATGTGGAGCTACCACAAGAGCTGCCTGCTTGAACACGACATGGGTAAACCCCACGCAGCAATGTAGGGGCCTTGATAATTCTATCAGGGTTTTGGACAATCTGATGCTATTTACAAGGGAACTATAATGGGACAGACTTATAACCCTACACCCCAAACCCAGTCCTACATTAAACCCCAAAGCAGAGCCAGGGTGCTGCGGCTGCCAGAAGCGACTTTTCAGAGCCTACCTCAAGGTAGTTCACCTGCAAAAAGGGCTGGGCGTGGGGCCGATTGCTTCGGAGGACGGTCTACGGGGTGCAGGAGTAAGGAAGGGGTTTCGGGTTTAGGGTTAGGGTTTAGGGTTTAGGATGAGGGTTTAGGGGTTTAGGGTTTAGGGTTTCGGGTTTAGGGGTTAGTAGGGCATGATGAGGGTTTGTCGCTTTGCAAGAGCATCCATCCGCCGCGAAAGAGTTTGGTTTGGGTGCACCACACCACAAGACCCGAACTCCAACCACCCTAAGCACGCCAGGAATAGCCGAGGCTGGCGGATAATGGAAGACGTCGACCTGTTGAAAAAAACTAAGCACTGAAATCCTGGTTGGGGCTTGTAGGGTTGAGGGCATCTTGGTCAAAGTCTCGCATGATCTCGCATGGATTGAAGCTGACTGGCCGAACAACAAATTCTGAATAGGTTACCTCTACAAAACTACAAAGAACCACCCCGTGTCATCCCAAACGGCATCCCGGTCGCTCAGGTCGTCTTTGCAAAATGATCGAACTCGAGTCCCATTGAACTCTGACTTGACACTAAGCCCCACAGTAACGTGCAAAGCCGTGTGCACCTGTAGCCTTGAGACCGAGAGCCATCCACCAATCCTAACCCCTACTATACGGGCAGTATTAACTAGAATAGGCTTTGGGGGTCATAGTAACTTTCTAGTAAAGTTGAACTGCATACGGCATCCCTAAGGAACAGAAAGGTATTCAACCATGCTCGACCTCTCTATTACCGCCATTTACCACCTCTAAGCCCTACATATTGAATTCCTAAGTCCCGAACCACTCTGTCTCTTTCTCTCTCTCTCTCTCTCTGACTCCTGGCCTTGATAGGCCGTTGCGCCGCATGAACCGCATAGGGCAGGCAGTAGTCCAGAGACTCGAGGGGAAGGGCTCGATTTCGTTCAATGTCATGGTGGGAACGGGGGAATTGATGTTAACCTAAGGGGATGCATATGGAGTACGTAGCAAGCCCTGATACGGTCTTGCTGTTTGTTTATTCTGCTACTGGGGACCCACATCGCAGGGCCTATCAAGCGACATAACTGGACGAGCGCGCTGATGCAGGCGAAATTTGCAACCGCAGGGTGTGCTCATACAGCAAGAATTTTCGGAGGTTAATTTTAAGAGATTGATGCAGAAACGTCGGGTTGCGGCTGCTCCGTTTCACGGGCTTCTCCCGAGCACGAATAATGCGATGTTGTCCTAGATTGTGTTGCAGTCCACGATGCCCGTCGGTTGTTATGTCATCATCTGAACATGTATAGACTGTCTAGACATGTATTATGCTTCATTACGTATGCATGTGTTGCTACTTCTTTGTGGCCCTACACAAACACCCAAGCCCACCAAGCCCTCAAAAAACCACTTCGCATCCCTTATAAGCCATCCGCAGCCCCAACAAATCCCTGCACCCAAGACCCCAAAACCCAAACCCCTAATTCTCCAAACAAAAAACTCCTAAATATGAAGCTGCCTACACTCCTAAACCCTAAGCCCTTAAACCCGATTGGACTCTTAATGTCCAAAGCCCTAAACCCTGAACTAAACCCTAATCCTAAAAACCTCAGGTGTAAACCTAAACCCTAAACCCTAAACCCTTTAAACCCTAAACCCTAACCCTAATCCAAAGGCTTCGCACCTCGAAGACATCCCGACATCCCGGAGGTTGGCAGGGTTCCTTGGCTTCCCGGAGAGCCTTCGTTACAACTCGACGAAAAGCTTTGAGTAGGTTTTATTAAGTTTAGGGTTCAACTCTACGAGCCTATAAGTTTGAGGTTAGGGTTGAGTATTTAGGTGTAAGGGTTTAGGACCTTAAGTGTAAACGGAATTATAAGTGTTGAGGCTCTCTACATGTTACACAAGGGGTTCGGCTGCTGCCCTTACTGCCCAGCTCGACCCGCTACACAGTACCCGTACATAAATTTCATAGTTTCGGGCTCCAAGAAGCATCCTTTGAAATCATAGAGGGGCCGCTCATAATCGCTGTATAATTGTATGCTCTGCAAAATCAACAAATAAACAGGGAATCACTTACACCGTACGATGGAGTTGGGAAAGAGTCAGCTGAATGCCCCCGGGCCCAAAAGGCGCTAACTCCTCGGCCCACGATACCAAGCTGGACCCCAAATCGCAAGCCCCGGAAATATCAAACCCTACTTGGAGGTTCATGGGTAGTTATACGTGGGGTTATAAGCCAGGTAACTATAGTTATAACCCAGGTTCGGGGACTTAAAACCATACTTATGACTACCCATGAAGCTCCACGCAAATCCCCCCCTAAACCCTAAACCCTAAACCCTAAACCCTAAACCCCTAAACCCTAAACCCCCAAGTACTTGGACCAGCATCTTCCATCTTTACTTTGAATGAATTCCTGCAGACCTCAGAAGCCCAGCTGCTTTGACTCTGGAGAAGTTTGCCTTCACGGCCACATCCTCGTAAGTCAGCATTCCTGAGGGCAGGGCATGGGGGGGGGCCTGTAATGCCTGGCTAAGGTTAATGTAAGGCTCTGTGTTGGGGTCGGCGTTGGGATGTATGGGCTTGGGATATTCGGAGCTTGTGTATGTTCATGTTAGTTAGAGTGTCTGTTAAAGGTTTGGGTTGCGAAGTGGGGGATTCATGCAGTTGGAGCTGTCAGCCTGAAGTCAGAAACACGGACCTGGGGCAAGCCCCTCCCCCGAACTATCCTGAGCCCTAAACTCTAAACCAAACCCTAAACCGTGACTCAAAGTTCTCCCTAAACCATTTTTTTGAACCCAGGCTCTTCTCCGACTCAGCTGCTCTAAACCCTAAACCCTTACATGAAACCACAAACCCCGAAGCCCTCTTGAGGCCTCAAGGTTCAAAGCCCTCCCAGGCCCCCCAAGAACTCCATGCAACCTCTCCGCCCTCCCAGGCCCCTGGGAAGCCCCACGTGAACTACCCTGCTTTTAGGGTTTCGACTCATACACTCACAAAGTAGGCATGGCAACAAGTGTCCGGGCTTGCTACTTTTGGTTTAGGGCTTGGGGTTCAGGGTTTAGGGTTTAGGGCTTAGGGTTCTGCTTTTTTTGAATGTGACAGGGCCCCTCTTTCTGTCGAAGTGACGCTTTAGGCTTAAGTCTTAAGTGTTCAGGGTTGAGGGTTTAGGGACACGAAGCCCTAAACAACAACACAAGAACCTGAGCACAAACACCCAAGAGCCAGTATCAAGCTAAATCCCTTTCCAGCACGGACTGAGGTGCGGCCAGCGCCCATGCAACCCGCACCCCGTCTTAAGGCAAATCCCTAAACCCCAAATCCCAGCACCCCAGAATCCTGGAGAGCCCAGTGGCGACGGAAGGATGTGTAGGCTAACTCCGGCCCGAAGTAGTTCCTAAGGTGCTTGGAGGTTCATGGGTAGTTATAAGTAGGGTTATAAGCAAGGTAACTGTAGTTATAATCTATGTTGGGGGACTTATGATCCGTTTGTAACTACGCATGAACCTCCAAGTGCTCTTGGCTGCACAGAGAGCACAACACGCCGTACTGAAGGATACTACGGATACTACGGGTTAGGGGTTGACTATAGTTTAGAGCTCACCAAAAACTCAAGGTGCCGTTGTAAGGCCTAAGATCAAGACTGCCAGAGCAGTTCTAGAAGATTTTCTGGCTCAGGGTCAACCTTAAGCATCCGATCACAAGTTTAGGGTTTAGGGTTTAGGGTTGAGGGATCCGGCAAATCCTAAACCCTAAGTGCCAAATCCTAACCCCTACCTAAGCCCTGAACCTGCAATGCTTAAGAAATAACCATGCAACCCCGAAATGGGTTCCTCACGTCTCCTGGAACCCTCCCATCGCCCCCCACCGTGAAAAGGCCGTGACCTGCGATCTCCACCTCTAGACCCTTTTAGGGTCCCTTAGGTGAACCTTTAAGGTTTCGGGGTACCCTAAACCCTAAACCCTAAACCCTTTTAGGGTCCTTTAGGTGAAACTTTAAGGTTTCGGGGTACCCTTTTGCAACAGGCTTTCCACTACCCCGAACCCTAAACCCTAAACCCTTTTAGGGTCCCTTTCAAGGTTTAGGGTTTAAAAGTTTAGGGCTTCGGCGCTTGCTTCACTTCTCGAGTTGTGTGCTTTGGGGGTTAGGGCCTACACGGCTCCAGGCCCAAACCCTGACAACCCTGAACCCTGAACCCAGATGGGGGTTTCCGAAATTAGGGGACCCTAATATAGTACCCTAAATAGTAGGATCCTTATTATAAGGGCCCCAAAAATAAGGTACCACTTCTTTTCGGAAACCCCCATATTGAGGGGATTTAGAGCTCAGAGTTTCGGCCTCTGGCTGTTGGCGATGGCTGTAGCGGGCCCCAACGACGGGATGGGCATCGTTGGCTGAACTTTCGGGGCTTGGTTAGGGTTTAGGGTTTAGGGTTTAGGGTTTAGGGTTTAGGGTTTAGGGTTTAGGGTACAACTCAAGAAGACATTCCGACTCTTGCCATCCTCAGAACCGATCATTTCAATTGCCAAGGGTCGTCGGCATCTCGGCTTTATGCCTCTTTCGAAGAACTGCTGGGGTTTGCGGTTTAGGGTTTAGGGTTTAGGGTTCAGGGTTTAGGGTTGAAGGGTCTAAGAAGTTCGGTTGGTTCTAGGAACCGGATCGTAAGGCTAGGCTTTCAACTCCAAGCAAGGTGTGCTATGCTGTATGCACACGGGGATACACTCGGTTTGCGTTTGACGGCTCCCGACCTCGGCAGGACTCTGATGTTTAGCCGAGGGCGTGCCAGGTCTAATTAAATTCAGTCGCATATCACGAGGGATAAACTGAGAATGACAAGAACGACGGCTTGAGGGTTTTCAGGGCTTCCAGGCCACATGGTGGAGGCCTTTAGTCCTAGACTTCACCCTCTACACCCCAAGCCCAACCATTTTAAGTGCCCTAAAGGCCCTAAACACAACTTCGTAATCATCCCTAAACTCAACCCCTAAGCCGAACCCCAAGCCCTAAGGCCAACTCGAAACCTTAAAACCTAAAGACAGTCCGCTAAAAGCTTGGGGGTTCGTATTTAGAAGTTCGCTCCTAAACCCTTCACCCCAAGGCGGGCCTGAAGAGATGAGCTGACTCGTCCCAGACCAGGCTGCCACCAGAGGCCACGGGAAGCTGGTAGAACGCCTGACACGCCTGCCGGCAGGGCAGCTGTCTGTTGAGCACCTTCCTTGCAAACCTGCTTCCAACAGGATAGAGTCTACTTGGAGGTTCATGGGTAGTTATAAGTATGGTTATAAGTCCCCTAATATGGGCTATAATTATAGTTACCCTACTTATAACCCAATTTATAACTACCTTCAGTCCTCAAGGAATCCGAAACCCTGAGAGGGAAAGGCACTCAACTCGGAGAGTTTCGATACAATATTAAAGTAATTGCAACAACAGCTGCAATAGTATCTGTAGCCGTCGTCGTAGCAGCCGTACAGTAGCAGGACTACTTGAACCCTAGCTAGTCTCAATCAGTCTTAGTAGTCACCCGGCAGCTTTCACCACACCGGGTGGGTGCCTGGCTGCGGAGAGCAACAAGCGCCCGCTGGCCCCTTCGGTTCTCGCTGAACCTTGGAAACATTGTTTGTGGAGGATTTTGGGATAAAATGCACCTTCCTAGGGACTTTGAAGTAACCAGGGAGAACAAAAAATAGACTTTAATTTCATAATGGTTCCCTTAAGGAAGAGGTCCCCCCAAAAAAGTATTCAAGTATGGTTCTCCAGAACCCAGCCTTCTCAGCACCTTCATGCGCCAAAAACTCCACTCCGGGTTCGGCCTGCATTCCCCCCTTGAATTCTCAAAGTGAAGTCCATGATCGCAAGGAGAAGGCCGGGAAACTCTGGGGATAGCTCGTCATTCTCGAGCACTGTCCCGTTCCTGCAGCCGCCAAATTCACGAAAGCACACTTGGAGGTTCATGGGTAGTTATAAACGAGGTTATAAGTAGGGTAACTATAATTATAACCCATTTTTGGGGACTTGTAACCATACTTATAACTACCCATGAACCTCCAAGCACCAAGCACTGCAGCCGGTTTGCTTCGGCTTCATGTCCAACTTACCGGTCGCCGACACGGTGCAGCAAACTCGTCCCCTGAACATAGCCATAAGGTAAGTTCCATTTTGGATCACGATGTCTTTGTAGTGAGGTGTTGCCAGATAGTTACAAACGCAAATCAACCTTGCATGACCTATGCTGGCAAACAGAAAACCAAGATTAGCAAGCTAAGCATTGGTTGCATTGAAAGCCTTTCCAGGAAAGCTAGCATACCCCAGATCCCAAAGACCTGTAAACCTGCACAAGCACAAGCCAGCCGTCATTTCCTAACACCCTCTAGAATCCTGAATAGCTAGACAACGGTTTCTCGGGTTGGGAGGCGGGGATGTACCATCATAACATAACGATATGGGACTCGAGTGGGGTGTTCTGCTGAACCCCGAACCCGAAACCTGTGCTGCAGCACCTTGCAGCTCGGTTGTGCTGCGCTTGCAGGAGGCACCTCATAGCCAAACGAGGAGCATTTTTTCTTTGCAGCTCTGCGGGTCTCGAAGCTTCTTCAGCTGTCTAGTGAGTGTAAATATTAAATAACACTTTCCAGACGCATCTACAAGTTGTATATAAAGCTTTCCTATGTTTCTGCTTTCAGGGGTTTGGGTGGCGTCGTGGTGTTTCATGAAATCATTCAAGGGTCGCCTTCTTATTGTTTTTTAAAGTCTGCTCAGGACGGGGTGTCCTCCTGTTAGGGTCCAGGTTGTTCCAGGTTCCCATGAAATACTAGTCTTGGAGATCGAGGCTTTCAGGGCAATAGCTATAGTAGGCAGATGGGGTATAGGACGCAAGCGCGGCATGCAGAGCGCAGGGCATAGTGTTCGAGGTCTCTGGGTCTGCATGGTGGTCGACGATAAAGTGGCTCGAGCGAGTGTCCGACAGCGAAACTGAAGCCGAACATGACCTGTACCTATAGTCTCCATTGTAGTTCCTTTTTTTGGTTTAACCAGTTATATATGAAGGATTCCATAAGGTATCCCCAAAAAGGAACTACAATGGAGACTATAGGTATGTCTCGTTCTTGCCAGGGTTCGATGATGTCTGTGCCACGTTTTCAGCTGCAGCAGGGGCTGCGGCGGTTGTCCTGAATTGGCCGCACTAGGAAAGAGAATTCAGTTTGGCGCTGCGAACGAAGACTTGACAACCTGAAGCCTGGTTTGGTTTGGAGAAGGAGGAGAGATGTGAAGTAGTGGCTTCGTTACAGATCTTCAAAGATTCACCACAGCACGGACACTCACTAACATCGCCGGGGCGTCCTGAACAAAGTATACACGGTCACCAAAGCCCAAATACACCTACTGTACCTTTCGTGTCTCTGCTCGTCTTGCTAGAAGCCTGGCGGCCTCATGCGTTCCTCTGTCGAATGCGTACTGCGAGATCGAAGAGGCATCCGACGAATCAACCGTCGAAGCTCCAGCCTGAAAGCTCCATAGAGTCCGTAGAGTCTCTACATGTTGGGGCTTACTTGGAGGTTCATGGGTAGAATTAATGGAGTTATAATTCCCCTAATATGGATTATAACTACAGCTACCCTACGTATAACTACCCATGAACCTCCAAGTAGGGCCTGGGGTTTCCCATTTCGGTCTCGCAGGGCTTTCCAAGACTCCCACGGGCCCCGGCCGAGATTATCACAAGCAGTTAGACCGTACAAGAAATACTATCTTGAATAACCCCTTTCCAAAGAGCACAAACTCTTGGGGAAAGCCTAGGCTCAAGGAAAGGAAGGTGAGCACCACGATGGCATGGAGCATGCTGTGCTCCACAGGCGCCGCAATCAATGCTGTACCGGGCTTGTCTGCATTCACTGTGGCTCAACTGTTCTTGCAAGTCTTCAGGAGTCTACAGAGTCTACACTACACAAGGGAACTTTAAGATCCTACGGAACAACACCCCAAAAATTCAACATAGTCAGGCCCCCAAAATGGGGGGGGGGGGG